GTATCATTTTAATTAATTGTAATTAATTTTTTTATATATTTTTATTAATTTTAATTAATATTTTATAGAGTAAATTTTTAAGATAGTAAAAAATAAAAATATCTAAAATTTCATTATAATGCAACACATCACTAACAAACAAAACCTATGTACTTTTGGTTGTATTTTGCTTCTATTTTCCTTGTATTATTGGACTAGATTGATGTATTCTATTTTTACATAGGAATTGAGGGAGAACATAAGGTCCTGATAATTAAAATATAAGAATTAATAATAAAAAATACAAATATCTTTAATAAATCAATAAAAAAATTTATTAAAAATATTTGAATAATTTCACACAATTCTGGTAGTTAAAGTACTGGGAGATCATAACTCTCACTTTTCTATTCTAAATATAAGTAATACAAAAATATTTTTTTAGCATGGATTACATAAAAAAGCACCGTTTGAATATTAAAATTACAAAAACACTATATATATTTATTTATAATATTTTAATAATTTTGATATTCGAACTGCACTTTTTTGTGCAGTCCATGCTGAAAAATACCAATCTCTTCATAGTATCTTTTGTTTTGGAAAAACAATATAAGATCTTATTAGTTGGGAGGCAAAAATGGTAATAAATCAAAATTGTTCAAAGTTCAAGCAAAGCAGGAAGACAAGAAACTAGGCACAAGCCGTCAATGGCAAAACGGCAATACGATGCCGTTTGGAGTCTATAATGATTCTATTCTATTCCCATCATCCTCCGGCCTTCACCGGCCTAGTTCCCGCCGCTTCTCTTCTTTTCTTTCCGGTCTCACCGTCCCTCACATCAGCTTTTGCTAGTGCAGTCGCGCCGTTTCGTCGTCTCTTGTATTGACGTAACAATACAACCGGACATTTCCTCTCTTCCACCTTAGCTTCCTTCCCAGCTGTAAGAGTAACCGATAGAGTGGGACCGAAATCTTTTGAAAATTTGGTACTTTTTGTTAGCTTGAATTGTGCTATTGATTGTCGTTCTTTTCTGTTTGGATTGATATAATTGTTGAATTTCGTAGGACAATATGCGGAGGCACGGAAGCGCTTGTGTGGTGGTTCTAGGAGACATTGGTCGCAGTCCTCGGATGCAGTATCACGCCCTGTCGCTCGCCCATCAGGTATTCTTTTCTCTTTTCAACCTTCCATTCTTAGTTACTTGTATTGACGTAAATCGAAGCATTATTTTTCATATTTTGAGCTCAATCTTTCTTCCAATGATGTTGCAGGCGTCTTTAGAGGTGGACATTGTTGCTTATGAAGGTATACCTTTCTATAAGAGGAGCGAGTTAGATAAAATTTTTTATTATCACTAGATGCTTCCATGTTTTTAGCTTGTCCTTGTTAACATTTTCAGTAAATGTCAGCACAATGGATTTCCATAAGAAAATGTTCCATCCTATCGTGAATTATGAAGAGTGCAGAGCTTGAGATTTCAGTTTGGAGATCTCAGGTTTGATCCTTGAGGGTGTGGAGAGATATAGGAAAAGGGGAGGGTTATCCACGCTTGTATAGCCCATCATCAGATGTACCAAAGAGGAATCATGAAGAGTATGAGTTGCTGTTCTATGGTGTCTGGTATAATTGGAAATTATACTTTAATCGATTGAATTGCAACTTGGGGGGTGGGGGGAGCTTCTGAATGTTGAAGGTTATGGATAGAGTGTAGGGGAGAGATACAAGATTGGCAGTATGATATAGCATTTATTGTAGAAACTAAGATAGAGTGAGGCAAGTAATGTGTACATACTTGCTTGGTTTATTAATGCTAATCCTTTTCTTAAGTTAATACAATATTCCATTGTTGATATCTATTTTAAATTAATTTCTTAAAAATTCCTTCCTGTTAATGATAAAAGCTTGTATTCTCTTTCTATTTTTTGCATTATAAATTCAATCTTAAATTAATCTATGCTAGAAGGGTTGTGTCTTTATATTCGATGTGTGCAATATGATCTGAAAGCCTTTAGCACTAGATACACCTGACAAATATTGAAAATTGTTATTATTCAGATTTTGGATATGTGTCAGAATTATATATGTAGACAAAAGTCTTGGATAATAGTTATATATGGGTACAATTACCCAAGAATGTACAAAAGGTGATTATTTTACTAATTGGATTGTAAATTTGACTGTTTGGGTAGGTTCTGAACCACATGCTGCAGTATGAGAGAATGGATCTATTTATATTCACACAATGGTATTGATGTGGAGAAATCTAGCTACTCTAAGATAGTTGACGCTATCAACTTTTATATTTGAATTTCTTTCTTCCCTTTTGCAGAAGCGATGTCTGAAACTCCTTCAAAGCTTGCCAAAGATACTTTATCCCTTGACACTTCTGCTGAAGCCAATCTTTCAGTTTGTTATGCTCCTTTGGTTTCTTTGCATTAAAGTTCCTCGCTCTGATATTCTTTACAGTACGGGTGAGTTCTTAGAGTTTCATTAGAGAGGTACCATTTGTCTTAGTTGCTAATTGTTTATATTGTGCATATGTGTGCAACTGTGCATGTATTTGTTAGTGCGACTTCACTTGAAACAAGTTTAGTTATCATTTTTAATTTGTGCATAATATAGTGTTGGCCAGCTCTTAACTATGATAACCCATTTTCTGAAATTGAATGCAATTCACTTATCAAACATTTTGATTTGTCCATGTCATATGCCTATTAGATTTCTAGAAGAGTTAGAAATGCAAGTTCTTTCAGTTATGTGTTCTAGGAAAGAGCATTTGGTGTTATGGATGTGGCCCTTTGAAGCTTATGTGTGTTACCAAGCTGCATGGGTAGAGCTAGGAACAACTGGTTTTGGATGATAACTGAATTTTAATGATATAAAGGCCTGATACAGGTTTTCTGAAAAATGAACAGACTAGCTAGGTTATCATGCTTTTGTCATGAATGGCTGGGCATGGGTGCTAATGTTAGCTTAGTACAAGTCCAAGATGGATAAATCAAGCCACTACATATATGTTAAATTCTATCTACCAGTTTTGATATGTCATTTTTTATCCACCTTATATCTTTCTCTAAAATGCAGCAGATCATAATCTCAATCTAGCTGTATTTTTTCATTTTAGTTTTATATTAAGGAATATTTTCTCTCATTGTTGTCTTCATTTTTGATCCTCTTTTTCCTCCTTTTTGCCTTCTGAAAATTGTGTTAAACCTTCATGCATTTTTTTTTTCTGTAGAATCCTCCTTCTGTTCCAACCTTATTGGCTGTAAATGGACAAGCTCATTGAGGCAGTCTGCATTCATCATTGATTAGCATAATTTTGGATGCACCCTTCTTGGCTTGTCCCTAGGATGAAGTACTCGCTTTGTTTCTGTATATCATTGGTAGAAGAAAGTTGACTTCTAATTTCAGTCATGTGAAGATGATCAATTTTGTTGTATGATTAATGTCTTTTTCTGATAACATCAGGTTTGAGAAGCATTATGGGAAAAAGGCAAATGGTTTGTTGTGTGTAACAAGGGCAATGCAACATGAATTAGCACAAAATTGGGGAATTAAGTAAGTGATTAGCTCACGGTTCATGTTTTCTTTAGTTATGCAGTATTAAATTCTATGATAATTTGTCTAATAATGAGTTCTTTGCTGCCCTTGTCAAATTATTAGAGCCAGTCTTATATGACCAGCCACCTGTTTTCCTCCATCCACCTTCACTTGAAGAGAAACATAAGGTGAAATATTTGTTCTGGTTTAACTTATCCTAAATAATTCAGTCAAAGAATTATATCTAAAACATGGTTCCTTAGTTGTTTTGTAGATTGAATAAAAATCTGTGCCATCCTATTGGTGTTAGAGATTGTGTGAGCACTGGTAAGTCTTCTTGTAAATAAGTCATCAATTCCCATTGAATTGATTTGCCCTGTGCTGTTTCCCAATGCACATTCTTAATGCAGGAAGTATGGGATTTGGGGATGAAACACTATTTATGACTCATATTGGCAATGATATTTTGTTGAAGCAGAAAAGATCAGCACTTATTGTTAGCAGTACTAGCTGGTAAGGTCATGTTTTTAAATAGGTCCTATAGATTGTGCTTCTTGCCGGCCTATTTTTCAATCTCTGTGTCTTCCAAGCATGTCCATCGGTTATCCTAATTTTGTTAGTTGGGCGCAGCTTTTGCTTGGTCATGCATTGATCTTTTCCTATCAATATAATTAAGTATACTTTTTGCTGGTAGGAATTAACTGGACTTGACTGAGAGTTATTATTATTATTATTATTTTTTATCAACCAACTGGGAGTTAATTAATGTCAATGAAATATGGAATGCCATTGTGGACCAAATTTGGTCTTCCTATTGACTGCTTGTACAGTTATACTTGTTCTCTAATCTGTTCAGCTAACTCCGAATTGTCTCCTAATGATAAGTTTTTCTCCCCAAATTTCCTTTATTGGTATTCTCATCCTGTGACTATGTTCAGTTGTCACTGAACTGTCTCTTAATGACAAGTTCCCCCAAGTTTTGTCTATTGAAGTTCTCATGACACAAGCAAACTGCAGATTACCTTGCCTGCAAAAGTATATTTTCTGATCTATTTTAAGATTAATTCATTTGAATTGAGGAATATGTCTACTGCATGAGATATCTACTATATAATTAAAGTCTTTTTGAGGCTGTCAAAACAGTACATTCTATGGAATAATCTTTTTCCAGGACACCAGATGAAGATTTTGGAATTCTCTTAGAAGCAGCAGTTATGCATGATAGGCTGTAGGCATTTTGCTTCCAGTAGAAAGAGATTACCACTAAGCTATAAGTGGTTGGCTAAAATAATTTTTTTTCATGCAAAGGTTTAATGATACTATATATGACAAATCAAAAGATGCAAAAGGGCATTAATATACTATGACAAACCTCTGCAAACGGCCAGAGAAAACAGCTCGGAGAAAACTAGGACCGCCATCAGTAGCGACATGTTGATGCAAGTAATGGTTCTCATGATTTTAGTTCTCTAGAAACCACTTAAAGGAATGGGCTGCGGCTGGAGAATTTGCTTGTATATTATAGTGGAAGGGTTTACATCTATTTATATATAGACACTGAATGCTTATGAGTTGCTAGTTATTATTAATTGTACCATATCAATTAATTGCATATTTGATTCTACATCTTCTGTAGACATTAATTTGAGATTTCATCTCTCTTTTCTGTATAATTGTATTGATTTAGAACATCTTAGCTTTCCTTTTTGTCTCTAGGGCTACACACTTAGTGTGCAGTTGGTACATATTCGTACAGCAGTCATGAGAAAGTATGAAGCCAATATTCTAGCATTATTATTCTCCTATATTTCATAATAATCTGTTGATTCTCGCTCTTTTTTTGTTTTTTTTGGTACTAATCCCCCGGTATTTGGAAGTCACATTGGGTCCCGATTAATATGGGGGTTGAGCCACATTGGACCCTGTAAAGGGAAGTTTTTTCAACGTCTGTTTCTTCATTTACAAGACCCAAACTCGATACGTTATTTAAAAAAACCAAGCTTCTTCGACTTGGACTAACAGGTAATTGGTCTTGCTCTTTCTTGTGAAACACAAAATCTATGATATTTTGGTTTCGTTTACTGCACTTTCCAAAAGTTACTCACCAACTTTAATTACTATATAACTTCAATTTCTTTCCATTTTATTTTCCCTTCCAAGATGGACGTGATGAATGCTGAGATTGTGATGGCATAAAGCCATAAATAATATTACCTAAGCCCTCCAACCTACTTAGAATTAGTTTTAAGCCCTTGAAAAAAATTATAGAATTCAAAATTTAATGTAGAGTTTCTTCTACCGAAAGCAAAAGTGGGCTCTTGCTTGAGTAGATTAATGCCCTAGTGCTAGCGTGTATAACTTGTCTTACAATTCTCTAGTCTTGGTGTGTATGACTTACCTAATTTGCCTTACATCTATTGTGGGTTTGGAAATTTTTTCTTATCAGTTGTGTAGAAAAAATTCAGAGAGATACCCTCTTTTTCTCTTCTCTCTTTTAGAGCTACGTTACAATCTTCATCAACTATGTTTCTCTTGTCATGGATATATCATTGTCAACTTTGTCTCTAATCTCAGGGAACTTGCTTTGCCTGCCTTTACAAACCGTTCCATCTAATGGGCAATTCAGGTAGATATTGGCTAATTTTGGAGGATTCATAATCTATTAAGATCTAAATTTTGCCGACTTTTAGGACTGATTATAGAGCCTTAACCTTTTGTAGACATGATTATAGAGCCTTAAACTTTCGTAGACACTCTCTCTTCACTTTAACACTACCAAACCCACATCTGAAATTGAACCTCGTCAAAACCATATGAACATGACTCTAGAATCCTTGAACCTGAAGGAGAAACCTAAAAAACTTTTCAGAGTCCCGTAAAACATGCTTGATGTAGGATATAACTATTATATTTTCCTTTTCAGCAATAGCAAAACTGCCTAATAACATGTTAAATTTTACCATAGGAAGTGTCTGGGGATGGTTTTTGTGATCTGAACACAGTGTTGTAATGACATGGGTTGAGTACCCCTTGTATTCTTTAATAAATTTGCATTTTGAAAAAAAAAAAGAAATTTTACCGTGAAAGGTAGAAGGTTGATATAGTAGCTATTGTTTGAACTTATTGATTGAGGCTAGGGTAATTTTTATACAAGACACTGATTGACACTAACTCTAATTCAACACATTCCATAATACACTTATTAAAAATATTATTGTTTTTTGATATGAATTTATAGGCATATAAACAGCTGAATCAAGCTGTACTTGTATCAAAAGTGTATCAATCATTTTCCAAACACATTGAAGGAGTGGAGCTGGAGGCCTAGCAAGAATGATAACTAATAGCTTTTATCTTTTGAGGTCTGTGTTTTTGATAAATTGGCTTTCAATGTTTTGTATGTGATTTATTTCTTCTCTAATTGATTTCTTTATTCAGGTTGATGGCAAACAAAAGTCTCTTATTATGTATTCAAACTCAGTACATAGAACCTGAGGATGATTTTCTTGCTAGGGAGACTCAACAAGAGACGTGATTTCCCTTTTTCCGTTTTGCATCCATGTAATTAGTAAATAGCAATTCAGCAATTCCAGAATGTAGTTGCTTTAACCAGGAAGATTATATATTCATTGATAGGTTCTGCTTTACTAACAAAGCAGCTTTCCAGAATTTTTGGCAGGCCTTATTTTATGGAAGTTTTGGTTTTGTTCTGCATTTGTTACAAACAGAATTGAACAACAGAACTTTATCGAATCCTTTGATTATCTTGGAAAAGGACTATGAGATATTGGCGCAATTTGATTCAGAAGGACATCTAAGGGCCTGTTTGGTGGAAATTTAGAGCTTTTACTGTTTATGAGTGCTAAATTTAAATTTGTATTAGAAAAAAAATTTAAAAGTTACTTTAGAAATAAGAAAAAGTTATTAAAAAATAAATAAAATAGAAGTTTATAAAAAATAAAAGTTTAAAACTTTTATGTTTTACTGTTTAGGGTCTTTTTAAAATTTTAAAAAAATTTAAAAATATAAACTTTTAAAAAAAATTTAAATTTATAAAACATAAATAATGTTAAAAAACTAAAACTCCAATAAGCTTCACCAAACATGCTTTAAATCTCCATGGTCAACTTCTGCTTTCCAGAGTGGATCAACTTTAATTGGCAAATAGTTCAAGGATTTTGTCTACTTTTATTATTTATTTTTCTCTATGAGCCAAAGTAAATCACCATGAATTACGTAATTTCAAAATTAAGAGAGCAACATTTGATTAATTGATTCAAAAATTCTGAATCTGGATTTTCACTCCCGAAAGTCCTATTGTTTCTTTTCACTCGGTAATAAAGAACACAGAAAGGCCATGATAAAAGTTTAAGGAGAGTGTTATTTTGCAGTATGTTTAGTAGTTCTCAAGAATTTTATTGGGAAGCAATTTCCAAGAAAGGTACTTAGAAACCTGTAGCTATAGAACAAGTAATACGAAAAGGCCAAGATGAAGATCAAAAATGATAATAATCAATTACGAGAAAAAGAATTCAATGTTATAACAAAAGCAAAGACCTGGCTAGTATATGAAAACCAGACAGGTTTTTTTTTTCTATTCGCGTTCACCATCATCATTGTAGACTTGCTTTCATGCACACTTATTTCTCGACGAGGATGGACAACCTGCTGCACTACTTAATGTGTAGTCTATAGCTTCGCGTGATAGTATTTTGCTGAATGTCTGTCTGCAGATTAATTTCACTGGCATTTGCAAAGCATCCTCTAGGGGATTTTGCAGCGGTTTGGAGTTGTAATGTAAAATGAAAAGTAACTTTAATTCCCAGCACATGCAGTATCCCAAGCAATAGAACTTGTGTCTTAGTACCCTTGGACAAGTTTTTCTTCAGTTCACATTTTACTGCCATGGAAAGTTCAATGCAAATAGATTTTCAGTTTAAAAAACATCAATCACCATCAAATTATATATACATCAGCATGTACTAAAAGAAATCTGCTTTACATGGAGTAGACTCCTTTTTTTCAAAAAGCAAATTTATTAAAGAGTATAAGGGGTACTCAACGCATATCATTACAACACTATAATCAAGTCACAAAACCACGTCCAGACACTTCCTACAACTCAATTTATTTAGCCACACAAATAAGGGTTTAGTAATCAATCAGTGAAGAACATTCTCAACACCTTTTCTTTATGTGACAGCCAGAGAAATGATCTGGCCTATACGAGATCAAACATCCTGTTAATGACTACCACACCTCTATTAAATAACTTCTCATTCTTGGTGGTCCAAACAGTCCAAACCAATGCTAGCCAAACTACTTCCCAGTCCTTACTCATTCTTGTTGAAATTGAAAAACCTTCATGTTAATAAAGGGCATTCCAACATGGTGTAGACTCTAGTCTTCCACTAAGTCTGTTTTATATGTTATAATATGAAGCAATAGCGCAATTATTGATCACTCTAAAATAAACTAATTCTGCGCCTTTATCTTATTGTCTTTGCGCCTTAATTTCTTCTATTAGTAAATATGGAATGGACTCGGACTCTAGTCTTCCACAAATTTAAGTCGTTATTTTACTATACTACTTTATTAGACGTCTTCGCAGATTCATTTCAGTGGCATTCGCCAAGCATATTCCAGGATATTTATCGTGGTTTAGAGTTGTAAAATGAGAATTG